TTGCAGGATGCTTTGCTGAGGCTGGGGCCTGTAGCATAGCTCTTGGTGGTACCAAGAACTGATCCCAGCCTCTCACATAGGCTAGGCAAGTGTTGAGCCTCCTTGGGTTGCTCCCTGGCCCACACTCCAAATGCAAGGAGGTAAACTTTCTTCCCAATTAGAACCCAGCCAGGGTTAGAGGTGATTGCTTTTCTAGCTAAGTAGTTAGTTAACAAAAATAAATTCGTTAGAACTTTTGAATGTATGAACTGTGTATGTCCTTGAAAAGACATTCAGAAATCTTAATAGAAACTGAAATGACTTCACCACACATCCAAGTCATAGAAGCAGGGGAGAACACAGAAGGGGAAGGACACACTCTGAAACAATTTCCAAACATCTGTTTCTGTGTGTGTGTTTATTGATCTCTGCCTCTTCACAGTATTTGAGCCACAATGTAAGAACTTTGCCCATTTATTTATTTATTTATTTAAATGTGTTTTATTTTATTTTTATGTGCATTTGTGTTTTTGCCACGGGTGTCGAGGTCCCCTGAAACTGGAGTTACAGACAGGTGTGAGCTGCCATGTGGGTGCTGGGAATTGAACTTGGGTCCTCTGGAAGAAGAGTCAGCACTCTTAACCCCTGAGCCATCTCTCCAGCCCGAACTTTGCCCATTTAAAGCCCAACAAAAAGATTTTTTTTTTTTAGACAGGGTTTTTCTGTGTAGCTTTGCTCCTTTTCCTAGAACTCACTTGGTAGCCCAGGCTGGCCTCGAACTCACAGAGATCCGCCTGCTTCTGCCTCCTGAGTGCTGGGATTAAAGGCGTGTGTCACCACCGCCTGGCATTTTTTTTTTTTTTTTGGTATTTTAAATCTTTTTCAAAGATAAATATTGTTAAGTTTCACTTTAAATAAAACAAAAGGAATGACCACAGGATCAATGAGTATTTTATCTCTTAAAATTGAGAAAAGCGATATAAGCTAGTGTTGTAAAAACTATGACTGCTGTTTTTCATAATCCATTCAGTTATTACCACCGTACCAGAATATGTTCAGAAGTACATGTTCCTTGACTATTTTTCAGTGCTTTTAGTTTGAAACTATCTCAAACTCACATAAAAGTCAGAATAGCCCCTATTGTTTTTTGTTTGCTTTTCCCCCCTTTTAGATATGATGCCAACATGATGCACTGTCAGCCCCAAACATTTGTAATCATATGTTGCTTAACCATGGATATGAATTCTGAGAGATGCATTGGAGTTGGTTATTGAGCAAACATTACAGTGTGTATCACACAACCCTATGGGAGCTAGATAAATCACTCCATATGGTTTGTTTGTTTGTTTTTTGTTTCTGTTTTTTTTTTTTAAGATTTATTTATTTATTATGTATACAGAATGTATAACTGCTTGCCAGAAGAGGGCACCAGATCTCATTACAGATGGTGGTGAGCCACCATGTGGTTGCTGGGAATTGAACTCAGGACCTCTGGAAGAGCAGTCAGTGCTCTTAACCTCTGAGCCATCTCTCCAGTCCTTGTTTCTGTTTTTTTCCAGACAGCGTTTCTCTGTAGACTTGGCTATCCTGGAACTCACTTTGTAGATCAGGCTGGCCTCAAACTCTGCCTCCCGATTGCTGGGATTGAAGGCGTGTACCACCACTGCCCAGGTTTCATATGGCTTCTTGATGCAATAAAAAGACATGTAAGGGGACTGGAGAGGCCACAGGAGCCACACAAATACTTCAAGACTGCATGACACACTATGAATGACCACCAAATTGTTGAAGAAACCAGAAAGTAAAATTTAAAATGATCAGAATCAAACGAAAACAAAACCTCAATTTACTATAACCTCTGGTAAGGCTGCTAAGAGGAAATTTGTAGGTAAGAATGATCATATTAAAAAGTCAGAGATTTCAAATAAATAATATAGTGATGTATTTCAAGGTCCTAGGAAAATAAGAACAAGAGTAGAAATAACTCAGTGATGGCATGCTTGCTTAATATGTATGGACCCCAAGTTCAATTCCCAGCATCATAAAAACAAACAAAAGCATGTCAAAACCAAACTTCAAATCAGGAGGCAGCAACAAGTAATAAAGAGAGGTAGGGGTGAAAATTAAACACAGAGACTAAAAAAAAAATCAATCAAAGTGCCATGTCTTTGAATAAATAAACAAGACTGGTAAACCCAGAAAGAAAGGAGAAACCCAAGGTAATATAAGAGATGGAAACAGCTACTAAAGCAGAGTCCAGTGAAATCTAGATGGTCATTAGGTAATACTTTGAAAACTCATAGTCCCAAATCCTGCAAAATATAGAAGAAATGAATGCCTAGATGTGTATGACCTACCAAACTTAAATCAAGAGGCTATAACCAATTTGAATATATCTCTAACAAGCAATGAGATTAAAGCAGTAGTAGGCTCTTAACAAAGAAAAATCCAAGACTGGATAAATTCATTCCTGAATTTTATTCAACTTTTAAATAGTCAACAAACTGTGAACCACACAACAGAAAGGGAAGGAACACTACAAGACTGGATCCACAAAGCTAGCATTATCCTGATATCAACAACAAAGAAACAAATCTGTAGGCCAACTTCTCTGATGAATATAGATACAAAAAGTCCTGCAAACTGAATTGAAGATCATACATCATGGCCATGTCGGTTTCATTATAGAATGATGCAAGGATGGTTCAACATATGCAAATTGATAAATGATATACAAAATAGACTAAAAGACATAAATCATATTGTACGACCAACTCAATCAGTGGAGAAAAGGACCTTGATAAGTTCAGCGTCCCTCATGGTAAAGGTTCCAAGGAAGCTAAGAATGGAAGGAACACACCTCGACATAATAAAGGCTGTATACACCAAGCCTATAGCCAGCATTATACCAAACAGCAAAAACTTAAAGCATCTTCTGTAAAGTCAGGAATAAGATGAGGATGTCCACTTTCTCAGCTTTTGTTCAGTGTAGTGCTTGAGGTCTTGGCTAGAATAAGAGACAAAAATAAGAGGGATACAGATAGGAAAGGAAGTCAAACTGTCCCTCTTTGCAGATGACATGACACTCAAGAGACCCTAAAGACTCTACCAGAGAGTTCTTAGATCTGACAAAGGCTCGGCAAAGTGGTAGGATACAAAATGGGCATATAAGGGCTGGAGAGATGGCTCAGAGGTTAAGAACACTGGCTGTTCTTCCAGAGGTCCTGAGTTCAATTCCCAGCACCCACGTGGTGGTTCACAACCATCTGTAATGAGATCTGGCTCCCTCTTCTGGCCTGTGGGGATACATAAAATTTGTGTACATAATAAATAAATAAATCTTAAAAAAAAATTTAAAAAAATGGGCATATAAAACCCAGTAGCATGTCTATATGCCAGTAATGAACTGTCTGAGAAAGAACTTGGGGGAAAACCACACTCGAAATAGTTTAATGAAAACAGGCACAAGCCTAATCAAGAGGTGAAAGACCTCTACAATGAAAAGTTAAGACATTGAAACAAAAATTGAAGAAAATACTAAAGGATGGAAAATTCTCCCATGCTTTGGATTGGCAGAATTAATATCATGGAACTATTTTATTAGCCAAAGTGAGCTTCAGATTCAATGCAACCCCCCTCAAAATTCAAATGACATCCTTTACAGAAGCAGAAAAAAAATGATAAAATTCATACAGAAACACACTCAGATGAATAGACTAGAATTAGAATTTAAAATATAGGATAGGAGAACCAGAAATAAACCACCTAGCACAGAGGTGTCGAAGGCATACTTTGTAAATGAAAGCCTCTTCAAGAAACGGTGCCAGAAGAACTGGGTTTCTACATATAAAAGGCTAAAAGTAGAACCTTATTTCTGTACAAAAATTTACTCAGAATGGATCAAAGACCTTCATGTGAGACCTGAAACTCTGAAACTGCTAGAAGAAAACACTTCAAGGTACAAGCTCAGGTCAGGACTTTGTGGAAAGGCTTCCAGCAGCATGAAGTCATCCCGAGAGCTGGTGAGTGGGACTGTCTGCCTCAGACACAAGATCAGTCTGCAGAGTGAGCAGCCTGCAGGGTTGAGGGAAGCCTTGCCCACTGTGCAGCAGGTTGGGCATCAAGATCTAGATACTTCAGAGGCTCCAGTGGTTAAACTCCACCCTCCCACCCAATCAATAAATGAGTTAATGAATTGAATATAAGAAATACAAATGGCCAATAAATGTTTGAAATTTTTGAATAGCCTTTTTCTTCAGGGAAATGTGCTTTGAGAGCAGAATGACTGTCATAAAGAAAACAAATGACAAAATATTGTAGCAGTGATGTGAGAAGAGGAACATAAATAGATGTAGCCACTGTGAAAATCAATGTGGGACTCATCAAAAACTGAAAATATGACTATCATATGATCTAGCTACACCAGCCAGCACTCATGGAGATACTTACACATCCATATTTAGCATTGCACAACTCACAATGACAAAGATATGGAACAAGGTCCATCACCAAAAAAATTGTAGTACACATCCAGAGTTTTATTCAACTGTATATATAAAAAAGGAAACTGGCATTTATAAGAAAATGGATAGATTGGAGATCTTTTTTTTTTTTTTTCAAGACAGGGTTTCTCTGTGTAGATTTGCACCTCTCGTTCTGTAGACCAGGCTGGCCTCGAACTCACAGAGATCCGCCTGCCTCTTGCCTCCCAAGTGCTGGGATTAAAGGCGTGTGCCACCACCGCCCGCGGAGATCATTATGTTAAGAGAAATACATGAGACTCATAATCAATGTTTGCAAAGCATATGTACAAAATGGCTTCAAAGAGGATGGTGATGTGGTAGATCAGAAAAGATAAGACTGAAATGTGGGAAAGAAAGACAAGAGTGGCCAGGCAGTGGTGGCTCATGCCTTTAATCCCAGCACTCGGGAGGCAGAGTCAGGTGGATCTCTGTGAGTTCGAGGCCAGCCTGGTCTACAGAGCAAGATCCAGGACAGGCACCAAAACTACACAGAAAAACCCTGTCTCAAAAAAAGCAAAAGAAGGGGGCTGGAGAGATGGCTCAGTGGTTAAGAGCACTGACTGCTCTTCCAGAGGTCCTGAGTTCAATTCCCAGCAACCACGTGGTGGCTCACAACCATTCCTAATGAGATCTGGTTCCCTCTTCTGGCCTGCAGTCATACATACTGTATACATAATAAATAAATCTTAAAAAAAAAAAGCAAAAGAAAGACAAGAGTGGAACACATGGAAGAAAGAGGGCTCAAGTTACAGGTGAGGCTGAAGAGGGAGAGGGATTCACACTGGCTGGAAAGAAGAGGGACATCTGAAGTCTATTCTGTTGCAACGAGAGAGCCAAGGCTAAGTGTCGCTGGCACGTCATTTCCCTTACGGAGTCACCAGAGGTCAGTGGGTTTCTCAAGGATGCCTCCCAGAGTCCTTGTAAATAATCGAAAGTATCATATGCAGAGAAGGGGATCTAAGGCTGGAAGAGAAGGGAGAAAGTTTGAAAACATTTAGGGGAGAACAAGAGACAACTGACCAAGAAGCGAAAGGCTTTTGGGGTAGCAAACCTTTGAGTTATTTGCGGCACCAATCTGAGCCATTTTCTGTTTTTCTCTCACTGCCTGGTGTGATCAAAATTTAAACACAGAAAAAGCAAACTCTTCGGCGGATCCAGGAGGAAGGCTGGCCAGGTCATGCAATGATGGAAGATATAAGTTGCTGGAAATATTGCTAGTGATGGACTGTGAGTACCAGTGAATGAAAACAGATGCATACTGACAAAGTGTGTATTGATAATGGTAACTGCAGCACTTTGATTTCATTACTTATTTATATGTTTTTGTTGTTGTTTCATTTTTTTAAGACAGGGCCTAGAATTCACTTTGTTCAAGGGTGGCCTTGAAGTCATGGCAGTCTTTTTACCTCTGCCTCCTGAGTGCTGGAGGAAGTTACAGGCATAAGCCATAAGGCCCAGCTCAAGTTGAGATTTTATGTACCCATCTCTTTACCTGTATCTTTCTATAGCAACTATTCCACAAGTGCCTAGAAAGGTCTAGGACTTGGCACTAAAGGGTCTGTCTCCAGGACTTTGCTCCGGACTCTCCAGCCCTTGTGATCTCTGTTGCAAGAATTCAGATGAGACATGAGTGTGGTGTAGAAGACAGACTGAGTTGATTGCAGAGTAAGGTAGATCACTTTTAAGTGGTGAGGCAACCAAGAGACCAGTGTGTCTACATACATTTTTCAAGACAGTTCTATTGATAGTAAATAATAGATGCTAACTGGTTTTCATTTTAAAATATTTGTGGCTTTAGAATAATTCTAAAGTCTCTAGAACAAACATTTTTTTCTTGAAGGACATTTTCCTGTCTAAGTTATTAACAGGCCAGTTTCATAAGACCCTTCCAGGAGGGGTAATGATGTGTCTGTTCTTTTCTAGAAAACCATCTACTGAATGATAAGGTTTAGGGTTCCTAGATGTGGGTTTAGAGAATTAACTAATATAATCAATGATCTTCTTGATAATTCAAGCTGTCCTCTTAGGGCCAGAGATTCATTCCTCTGATCAGTAATTAGTGTCCTGTAGGTGCCAGTCTTGTTTTCATTGGTTGTTGATTACGAGGGAGAAGTCTAGCTCAAATGCCCTCCAACCCTGCTACAACCCAAATGTAACTCCAAGAGATTCTGTTCCTGTTCTGCCTCCCCCCACTTCCTTCCTTCCTTCCTTCCTTTCTTTCTATGTGGTGTGTATGCCCGTTTGCATGTGTGCATCAGAAGTTGGTGAAATGCCTTCCTTTCCCACCTGTGCCTTATTTGTTGAGACTGAACCTGGAGTTCACTGATTGGCTAGATTGGCTGACCAACTCCTCCCCCACCCCACTCCTGCCCCTCAGCGTTGGGGTTGCAGGCACACAGTCAGGCCCAGCTTTTTACCTAGGTGCCAGTGATCTGAGCCACCATGTGGTTGCTGGGAATTGAATTCAGGACCTCTGGAAGAACAGCCAGTGCTCTTAACCTCTGAGCCATCTCTCCAGCCCTCAAATATATTTTGAATTATTATTTGAAATTTTACATACATGTATACAATGCATTTTGATCATATCTTGATTAAACTTTTTAACCTTAGGTTTTTGACACTAACTTACTCCTATGGTTTTAAGTACATAATTGGTAAGAGTTATGCTCTGTAATTATGAGAAAGTCTTTCTCTTGTTTTAATTCTTTTATAATTGGTTTTAAGACAAGATCTTGCTTAGCCAAGGCTGAATTAAGACTCCCTCTATAGTTGAGACTGGCTTTAAATTCCTGACTCAGCCCCCCAACTCTACTCTGGGTACTGGGATTATAGGTGTCTGTCCCCACAGGAGGCTCTAATACACAGGCCTGTACTCTAAGCATTCAATTCAAGGTCAGCCTGGAAAAGAAAGTCCAAGTCCGTCACATGTAGAGTAGTTCAGAAATGCAGATACATGAAAAACAAGAAGAGCATCCAAAAAGAAGAAAATGAAGGATAAATGGATCAACGGACCTAAGACAGTCTGTGGGATGTTTATACCACATGGGTAAATAAAACAAAGACAGGCAATTCAAGGGGTAGGAGGGAGGAGGTGGGAACATGAAGCAGTGTGACGTCACTGGACTATGGACTTAGGTTGGTTACAAAGTACATTGTAACCCAGGCAGTCGTACAAGAGCCTTCCTCTCTTCCTTCACTCCCTCGCGCCTTCCTCTCTTCTCTCTTTTGAGGAAGTCCACCACGTAGCCCAGGTGGCCTGGGGCTCCCTATGTAGATCAGGCTGACATTGAATGTTGAGACTAAGGCATGTGCCACCACACCTGACTTTTAAAATGTTTTTAAAAGAAATATGAGCAACAGACCAGAGAACAGAAATGAAACCTGACCACAGAATTATTCAGTTAAAACCAGAGAAGACATAGAAGAGGAATGGAAATGAAGAACATCTGCACAAGTAAAAACCTCAAAGATGGTAGGGTATGTGCATGTGTGTGCATGAGAGTGTGTGTGTGCATGTGTGTGTGCATGTATGTGTGTGTGGGTGGGTGGGTGTGGGTGTGGATATGTGTGTACATTTGTGTGTGCATGTGTGTATGTGGTGATATTGTGTTTCCCAAAATATTGTGCACCCTAATAAACTTATCTGGGGTCAGAGAACAGAACAGCCACTGGATATAGAGGACAGAAAATGGTGGCACTCACGCCTTTAATCCTAGCATTCCGGAAGCAGAGATCCATCCGGATCTCTGTGAGTTCAAAGCCACAATGGAAACAGGCAGGCATGGTGACTCACACCTTTAATCCCAGGAAGTGATGGCAGAAAGCAGAAAGGTATTTAAGGCGTGAAAACCAGGAACTAGAGCTGGTTAAACTTTTAGGCTTTTGAGCAGCAGTTCAGCTGAGATCCATTTGGATGAGGACTCAGAGGCTTCCAGTCTGAGGAAACAGAATCAGCTGAGGAATGGGCAAGGTGAGGTGGCTGTGGCTTGTTCTGCTTCTCTGATCCTCTAGCATTCACCCCAACACCTGGCATCAGGTTTGTTTTTATTAATAAGTACTTTTAAGATTCATGTTACATGTGTGTGCATGTGTGTGTGTGTACATGTGAGTGTGTGTGTGCATGTGAGTGTGTGTATGTGTGCATGTGAGTGTGTGCATGTGAGTGAGTGTGTGTGTGCACACGCGTGCGTGCGTGTGTGTGTGTGTGTGTGTGTGTGTCTGTGTGTGTGTGTATGCATGTATGTGAAGAGAGCAGACAACTTCAGATGTCACTCTTCATGTAACATCCATCTATCTCTAAGACAGAGCCTCTCACTAACCTAGAACTTTCCAAGTAGGTTAGGCTGGCTGGCCAGTGAGCCCAGGGGTCTTTAAATAATAAAGAAAATTTTACATTAGATTAAAAGAATAACACTAAATCCAGCTTTAAAATTAGGTTAATTTATGAACCCCATTTTCAGTGTAACATCTGCTCTTCCTGTCTCTGCAGGACTTGCCTCATTGGTCTGTCTGCCTCACAGTCCAGGATTCCTGCCTCCATCCTTACTCTGTTCTTCCTTGTGTCAGTAGAAAAGCAAAACAACTCTTACCTCAAAGGATCAACAGAGATAATTTATTCTGGAGCCAAATATGAGTGACCATGGCCCAGGAACACAGATTCAGGTCACCCAAATGTCATGTTCCAGCATGGTCACATTTCTGTGCAGTTTTACAGTAACAGAACAAAGGAAGTTATAGATCAAGACACTTTCAGTCATTGGTGGAAACATCAAGTAGGCAGGTTCTGGAAAAGCAGGAGTCTCAGCTGCAGGCCTCAGATGATAACTGATAGCAGTTTCAGCCTTTTGGTTGGTGGGAACTAGGGTCTGTCTACGCATTCCGAAGGATTTACCTAATGGTCACAAAGCTGTCAGGTCAGGTACAAAGGAGGGCAGTAAATGGCTATTAACGAGGTTGAAGATGGCTCAAGATAATTTGTCTCTGGACTTTCGACATTCCAGTCTCACCACATCACTGAAGCTCTGACTCGTCAACCAGCCTTTGTAGTCACAGCGTCTTCCCAGGACTTCTGTTCACACTTGGGAAGAATACTCCTCACAGTGTGAGATTTCAAGTTGAGTCCAACAAGACCAAAGCCCCCCACTCCCCACCCCTGAGCCCCCTGTCTTCTGACAGGATTCCACACCCCACACCGCTATCTTTGCCGTAACTACTCCACGGCTGGGTCCTAGAAAGCTTGGAGAACTTTGCATCCTCTATCCCCCAGCTGAGTAAGCGTCTGCAAACCAGCCAGTCCTAAACCTACTTGTTCTGCATCACCTTCCCCTCAATGTGCTTCATTTTGAGGTTTCTTGTTGCCAGGCATGACCCCCTTGGGTCACAAAACTGTCTTTTTTGTGCAGGACTAGGTACCTCCTTAACTGTTGGTCTGACTATACATCTACTATTTCTACTAACAGGCCATTTTTAGAATACTCACGTATTTAAAAAAATGGAGAAAGCTAAACTGTGCTAACAGGAATATGACCTAGAATCACTATATTAAATTTAGACAAATTGTATCAAGAAAAGATAAGGCTTATAAATCATTGTACAAGCATTATAGTATGATAAGGTTTCTATAATCCTTTGCTTTTAATTTTGTTTTTAATTTTAAAAATGGTCTTACTGTGTAACCCAAGATGGTCTCAAACTCACGGTTCTCTTGTCATCGCCCCTTGAGTGCTGGGATTATAGGTGTGTTCAGCCACACCTGTTCTCTTTGCAATTAAAGCAGCAACAATAACAACAACCTTTGTAATTCAAAGTCCCTGTTTTCCACTGTAAAGCTTTAAACTAAGAAAGATAATTAGTGCTTTGTACTTTAGACTTTCCCATCTGCCAGCATAAGGCAATAGGTTGAAAAGGAGACTGAGGTTTTGTTTTGCATTTACATGTGATGTGCATGAGTAAAAGGTGGAAACAAAGGAATTAGAGGTTCCCAGAGACTACTCTGGGATCTAAGCCTGAGAACAGTGATATCTGAACAAGTGGCTGACCTGCTGATGGGGTGTGCTAATCTCACCCTGACACAGCTAGTGGAAACAATTGCTTTTCATCACTTACATTAGCTGCAGTTCAAACCCAGAAACAGAGTGTGACCGTGTTTTTGCTTTGTGCTATATGACTTGTACTGACATTCTGCTTGGCATTAGTCAGGGACCTGAGCCAGGCCATCGCAGTGCCAA